TGGCGACCCGGGCATGTTCACTATTCCTTGCACGATAGGAAACACCACATTTCCTAAGGCCTTACTAGATTTAGGGGCATCTATAAACGTCATTTCTTATTCCGTTTATAAATCCCTACAACTTGGCCCACTACATCAAACTGGTGTGGTGATTCAACTAGCAGATCGTTCTAGTACCTACCCGAAGGGTGTATTAGAAGATGTGCTAGTAGAAGTAGAGAATATGGTTTTTCCCGTCGATTTCTACGTCCTCGAAATGGGGAATGATGACCAAACAGCGCACATCCTTTTGGGAAGACCCTTCTTAAAGACCGCAAAAACAAAAATCGACGTGTCTAGTGGTTCATTAACTTTAGAGTTCAATGACCAAAAAGTAGAGTTCAATATCTTTGACTCTACGAAAAAACAAATTAAAGATCAATTTCTTTGTTCTTTAAATGTTTTTGAACCACCAACGCCAAATGCTTTAATTGAGTCGGGAACAAAGAAGAAAGGTCGGCCTTACTGGAAAAGACTAAAGAAAAGAAATGAAGGAAGGGATGCTCACGATCCCACATAAAATAAAAATATAAATAAATAAAACGTCGTGCCACGACGTTAAATAAGGCGCTTCTTGGGAGGCAACCCAAGTCAATTAGTTAGATTTTATTTCTTTTTTGTGCGAATTTGAGAGAAAAGAGAGAGAGGGAACTAATCACATATTTGTTTTGAAGAAGAAGAAAATGCAGGTTTTGAAGTGTCTGGGGTCATACTCGATCGAGTATATGTTGATACCCGGTCGAGTATGAACTGAAATAAGAAGAAGAAAAAATTCTGTCTCCAGTACTCGATCGAGTACAGGTTTATACTCGGTCGAGTATAACGGGAAAAACAATTTAATTTAATCCCTGCCTCCAATACTCGATCGAGTATATGTTGATACTCGGTCGAGTATGCTCAGAAAAGCCAGTTTTCCCAACCCCTGTCTCCGGTACCCGATCGGGTATACAGGGATACTCGATCGGGTACCCCTGCGGATATAACACCAAATTAACCCCAAAAACACTTCATCTTCCCCAAACTCTTCCCAACTTCGAACAACCCTCCCCCAAAACTCCATTTTTGGACCTTCTCTCTACCATATCTCACCCAATCCTTCACCAAATCATCCCATTTCACCACCAAAATACTCCCCTCACTCCCCTCTCCATATCTATACCCAAAAATCCATTTTTTCCCAAACTTCCACCAAATCCCAAAAAACCCTACCCCATTCGAATTTTTGGATTTCAAGCTCAAATTCATCAACAATGGCACCAAGGAAGAATAGGGGGGAGAGCTCAATCACCATAGCACCTATCCCTGGCTTTGAAGACATCATTCCCGCCGACGCCGAACACCGAACTAGACTCCTAACAACAACAAAAAGGCAAGTAAAACCTTCCCGTTTTCTATGCCATGATGCTCTACGTGAATTAGGAGTCTATAAGAGTTGTAGAAAATTCTTTCATGCATTAGATATGGACCGTATTTTCAATATGAAACACAATTCTAATGCACGAATTATCTACGAATTCTTAAGTTCGGTAAAGTTTGAAAGTGATGAGACGGATTTTAGGGATGATAGACTCGAGTTTCGTCTGTTTAACCAAAATTATTCAATAACGAAACTCGAATTTGCTGAACACTTTGGTATCCCGGTGCCCTACGAGAGAGGCATCTCGGATAACACCATTTTTGGGCACTCCCTATGGACAAAGATGACCGGGGAAGTGAGCTTTAACTCCTCCCAAATGTATATTAGTCATGTCCAACACCCCGTCCTCCGGATATTCTTGAAATTCTTAGCCAATTGCTTGCTTGGCCGTCCCAACAACCATCACACTAGAATTGGGGACGTTTGTTTGATGTCCGTGGCCCTATTCCGTCGTCACGTAGACTTTAATCTGTGCAATCTCATGTGGGCACATCTGAAGAAAGAAAGCGTAGCCAAAGGAGCCATTGTTTTGGGAGGGGTAATTATGCACTTGGCCGGTAAATTCGGGTATACGGATAACTCTCCTATACCCGAATATTGTTTGATGGACATAGGTTGGTTAGGCCGATCAGGCTGCACCTCTTTTTCTCATACAGTGTACATTGGAGACCAACCAAAACACATGTACAACTGGATCATACACGTCCAACCGGTCCAATACTTCCTTTTGCCAAACCCCGACACTCCCAAAATCATCTACAGGCCGGAGTTCGAGGTACCCCACTACCTATTCCCTCACGCCCTACCACCACATCTCCAAGAACCACAAGCCCAAGATCCCCCCGAAAACCAACCCGACCAAGAGCCTCAACCCGAGTACCAAGAGCCTCAACCCGAGTACCAAGAACCCGAGGTTGCACACCACCACATGCCCGCACCTAACCAAGCTTCCCCACCTCCCGATTACTTCCAACAACTGCTTGACGGATTTAATAGAGTTACTAATGAAGTTGGTAAGTATCGAGAGGAACAAAAGGCTGGATTTCTAAGGCTAGAAGAGCAAAGGACAGAAGATAACCGGCGTTATGAAGAAGACCAACGTAGGTTCTATGGACCTATGTACTCTTACATGGCTCAACAAGGCCAATTCCATACTATGGCTCAGCCACCCCCACCCCCCTCTTGGTATGACCCATCTCAATGGGGTAACTTTGGAGGATCTAGCTCCGGGGGTGGAGGTTATGACGGCGGGGATGCTCACATGGGCGACGGGGGCTTTGGAGGAGACTTTGGAAGCGGCTTTGGAGGCAGTTACTACGGCGGAGAAGGCGGGCACTCGGGACAGTGCGAAACTAAGTGTGGGGGAGGACTACATCTTTTGGTATGTTCCATTTACTGTTTTTTTTCTACCTTGTACTAAGCATTATTCTCTTGTACTATAAGTTACACAAAAAAAAAAAAAAAAAAGAGAATAAAAGAAAATAAATGCTAGTTAGGTTGAAAACCCAACAAAATGGGCAATCTAAGCAACAAAGGCTTACAAAATAAAATGAGTGAGTGGTGAGAGAGGAAAAGAAAAGAGATGCTAGGATGAAAACCTGAAAAGGCTCCTAGGCAAAATGAGAGATATGAGAGAAATATTTTTTTTCTGTGTGCAGGAACTCATTTGATCTCTAAGAGGAAGAAGAAGAAGAAAAAGGAGAAGAGGAAGAAAAGATGAACACTAGAAGACCATAAAACCCAAGATGATATTTAGCATTAGAACTCATATTTTATCCTTGGTGGTCTTTGTGTTTTTATCTTGTTGAATCTATTGGAACTCGGGAGTCTTTACACTTGTAAACATTGAACTTTACTCGAGGACGAGTAAAGAATTAAGTGTGGGGGAGTTGATACGTTTGTAATTTCCGTATGTCTATTTACGTTTTAAGTTAGTTTTGATTGTTTAATATTTCGGAAATTACACACTTTCGGTGTAATAGTTTAGTTTGTTAAATTCTTGTAATTTGTTTAGATTAGGTTTATTCTGAGCTTAAACAGGTCCAAGATCAATCAAATGATCAATGGTGAAGGAAGGTGCAAGAGTACAAGACAAAAGAAAGAAAAATCCTGATTTTGGTCTATACTCGGTCGAGTATATACATATACTCGATCGGGTATCTGGTTGACATTTCAAATCGGATCGGATCCGAAAACAAAGGAACATGCAGGAGAAGATCTTCCCACGTTCGAGTGTCTATACCCGATCGGGTATGCTTATATACTCGATCGGGTATGCACATAAAATCTACTCGAGTATTGATCGAGTATTGACCAAATTCTGATTTCTATACATACTCGATCGAGTATGTATACATACTCGATCGAGTACTCGATCCTGCACCTCAAAAAGCCTATAAATACACCTCCTTTCCTTCACTTTTAGATCACCAATTCCTTTATACTCTTAAGCTCAGTTTAGAATAGCATTTCTCTATATTTCTTTTAGCATGTTTAGTCTCCAAATGAGGAGCTAAACTTCCATTTCTTGGTGTTGCTCTTGAAGCTTGTTGATTATTAAAGTTGTGAGTTATTTTCTTAACTTCTTTCCTTGAATATTAATGCTTCTCTTAAATACTATTTCTATATCAATGTTGGGGAGTGTTGCTAAGATGACAATTAGTTAACATCTTGACATTGGTCTTAGTAATAGCTATTCCTTCCTCTATGTTAATATTGGGGAGTGTTACTAAGATGACAATTAGTTAACATCTTGATATTAACTATAGTAGGATTCATTTTCCTTAATATTCTTCCTTGAGTATTAATTAATTCCTATTCATATTTCATGTTAATATTTTGAACATTACTTAAAGGATCAACTAGTTTTGTTTCACATATTAATTATTACTAGAAACGATCAACGAACCGATGGTTAATCGTTGATAGTTTCACAAGTAAGTAACTTCGGTTTATTAATGCACGGTCGTGGTTAATAAACTTAAGAGGGATTAATTTTGTTGGTTAAACCGGAACCGTTGCGTTAAGGTTATCAATCTCAATTGATTTCATCAAGGAGTTAAAAGATTAAATGCTACTATCAAGTCGGTATATGGCGTTGTTCTATACTTGACTAATAGTAAGGGTTATTACTGAACGGTCGTTGTTAATAACTATCCTCGATGAAGTGGATATATTCCTCGATTGAGTATTCGAGAGGAGATAAGTTATAGATATAACAATGATCGACTAAAATATATCAACAAGTGTAAAGTAGCAATACCAAGTCCCTTTTATCTTTGAATTAAACCACATAACTCGTTCATCTTCGTGTTTAATTTTAATCAAATCACTCGATCAAAACCCCCCCTTTTTATTTACTATTAATATAAAAAGAGAGTTATTCCTTTCCCTGTGGATACGAACTCTACTACGCTATACTACGTATAAGTGTTAGTATTGAATTTATTTTGAGTGCACTCACGACAAAGTGCGCGTCAGATGATCACACTGATCTCACAGCATCTAAAAATTTCATCTTCCTACTCAGAACTGATGATCCATTGAACTTTTTCTTAATCCAAGCCACACTATTAATATAGTAGAATTCAGACTTTCAGTCCTTTTTTTTTTTATTAATCCTAGCCACATATGTTTTATTTTCAATTAACACTCTAGTGTGCCCAAGAAGTTAAAGACTTAAAGGTTATATTAACAGAACATTTTGAGGCTTATGCCCTAAAAGCTAGGAGTAGGAGGAGGTAAAGCCCAGGGTAGAGCAAGCCAAGCGCCTAAGTTTGATCACCAGAAAGAGTGAAACCCCACACACAAATCCCAGTGCAGCACTTGAACCTGTGAGAGAAATGGCAGCACAGACCAGCATCACGAAAGACTCTTCCTTTGTGTTCATATCCCTCGAAGCCATAGCCAATTCTATCCCAGCAAACAACAGGAGCACTCCAAGAATCCCGATCGGGAATTCCTTCAAGATCCTAACTAATGAATTCCCGATCAATAAACCGACAACCAGCTTCCCCACTCCCAGAAACACCACAGACAACCCGCTGCGGCCACCGAACCTGTACTGCCCAGCCAACCCTCCTGCACCATGACAACACGGCATTGCCCCGAACCAACACCCTACCATGTTCATCAACCCTACACTGATCGATACTTTAGCTGCCGATCCAGCCCTTTCTGGGAACAAATCTGCTGATAGCTTACAAACTGCTATAACTGAATTTAAAACTGATAATGGAATTTGAGGAATTGCTCCCCGGAGGAACCCGGTTTTCCAATCTTCCCATGTGATTGTTAGGACCTGGAATTTTGACGGACCGAGCTTGATTTCGTGTATGACTGACGGATCACGGATGAAACAGAGGATTAACCCGACTAAGAACACAATTAGGGCTGACGGAATTTTCGACAGCGTTCTCAATCGGCGGTTTACTCTGCGCCGCTCTTCTTCAGCAGTTCCCTGACACAAAATTTCAGATTCTTCTTCGACTGCTTCTCCGGATCCGGTGACTAATATGATGAACGAGAGGCAGATTAGTGCAAGGATAAGCCCGTCGAAGCCTAACCAAGGTCTAGGAGTGGAGCTGCTGGCGGAGGTAGAGGTGAAGTTTTGGTTGTAGCGAACGTATTTGATGGCGGAGAAGGCGAAGGAAAGGCCTTGGGAGAGCTGGACGCCGCGGACGACGGGCAGGGGGATGATTCTGTAGAAGACAGACATGAGACCGGTGGCGCCGAGAATGAGGAGAAAGGCGGCGGTGGACAACCCGGCGGCGGCGATTTGGGGGAGAGTGAGGTGAGGGGTTTCGGAAACGGCGACGGCGGCGATGGATTTCATAGGCTGGACGGGCATGGGGATGCCGAAGATGAGACCGGTGGCGATATTGTAGAGGGCGGTGAAGATTAGGGTTGTGCTAAGGTCGAGATTATTGACTAGAGTGAGGGCTAGGACTATGGGGATGTAGGTGCCGAGGTCGCCAACGGATCCGCCGAGCTCGGCGGGTATAGAGGTTTTCAGACGGAGCGAATCGGACAACGAGAGGGCGTGGAGGTGCCTCCGCCACCACTGGCGGCGGAGGAGTGGAGTTGCGCGGTCGTCAGGTGCTTCTTCCGCCATCTTGGGAGTGTTGACTGTCGTCTGTCGGCGGATAAGGCCCAACTAACGTTTCATCTTGAGCATCAAATTCTTACTGTTCTGAAAACGAATAAAGAATTATTCATACAGCGAAGAGTACTATCAGTCCAAATCCAAAGGAGAAAAATGTCGATTGAGTACATTAAGTTGCAGCTCGTGGAATAAAGAGTACCACTTCTTACAAGTGAGACCAGGAAGTACACAAAATAGGTATTTGGGTGTTAAATCAGTCCATTCCTTCACTTGACGTTAAAAATTGCTGATGTGGCTGTTACAGTCGTTTGTTTTTTAAAAGCTGGACTCCAACTCAGCAACTTCCCAATCCTCTTATATATGTAACCAGTAACCCTAATTTATAAATAATGTTTGCGTATTTCATCCCAATCTTCATCTAGCTCTTCGTTTCTTCTTTGTCTTCTGTTCGAAGGGTGATAAAATCTTTTGATGAATCCTAGATTGTTGTTCATTGTTTATCTTATGGGCTGAATTTACTTTCCAGTTCCTGCTCCTTTCTGTTAATTTTTGGGTTTGTTTTTTCAGATTTTTGTTGTGAGAGCTACGGACATGGCTCATGGAAATTGTGCATGTGGAATCCCTTTGAAAATGCTGACATCATGGACTGATGACAATCCTGGAAGACGGTTCATTACCTGCTCAACATTAAAGGTATGACCTTGAAGCTTGATTTTACCTATTTAATTTAATTTGTGTCAATCGGGCTGATTTTACGTTTTCAGTAGTTTGAATGAATATATGTACACATATATATTGCACTTGAGCCATATGTAGACAACTTGATGTAAACAGTCATATGTTGTGATTTTTTTGTAATAATATTGTTATTTATGTTTTTGTTATTGATAGGGAAAGGGAGGATGTAGAATGTTTGAATGGATTGATCCAGAAATGTGTCCACGGTCGAAGATGATTATACCAGGTCTGCTGAGGAAAATAAACAAGCTACAAGTTGAACTTGAGGAAAAAAATGCAATGCCCAAGAAGAAGAAGAAATGGACTGTCTTATGGTGTGTTGTGGGAGGAATGATGCTACTAGGTTCATGGATTGTTTGTTTTGACATTGGAAGCAAAAATAAGTTAGGTTGGGACTATTGCGAGGCTCCAATGATCTAAATGTGTAGTTCAATGTAGGATATATCCTTCTGTGTGTGGTTTTATGTTGTAATGCCATTAGACTATTAGTATGTGAAGTTGAATGAGTGTTGTTGTATTGGTATCTAGCTTACTGATTCTTGTTGAGTATGGTGTATGGTGATGTTTATTGATAATCATTTCATATTTTTATTATGTAGAAACTGGTTTGAAAATATGTTTCTTACTGATGTATGTTTCTTGTTAATGCACCAGATAAATTACTTGATTAAATTCAGAAAAGTTCAGGACATAAAGCCAGTTGGTTAAAATATAGAACTGACGATCACTTGGTTGTTATATAGATGATGACATGTTAAATCAAAAGACAGGTTAAAATTGACAGGTTTATATCAGTTCCAAGCATAAAATATGAACTAAATGACATGTTAAAATCATTTACAAGTATACTACATAAACAAAAAAACATGTTGAAACTAGTTCCAAGAACAATACTAAACTGAAGTAATACGAAATTGAAGTAATATTGAACTGAAGTAATACTGAATACTTCCAAACTACTTCCTAGCATGATACTCTTCTGCAATTTTTGACAGATGCAAAGATAATACTTCTAACAAATTAATTATGATACCAGTAGGTTTATAGATGAAAGGATAAGAGTGATCATAATTCCATAACCAAAACACCCTTGTACTGAGTTGTACTGGGTCACAATTTATCAGGCCTACAAAAAACCTTGTACAACATCATCCTAAATCCATAACCAAAAACAGACTTGTACAAGATCACAGTTTATCCTAGACAAAAAGCCTTGTACAACATCATCACAATTCTTGATCAAAACAAACTTCATAATTACAATTCCATAACAGAAGAACATTCTGCCAGGTCGGTACAATGCAAAACTAAACTACTCTTCAATAGGAGCTTCCATGGAGTCGTATAGTTCATGAAATAGGAGTTACCACTTCAACGCCTTAGTTACTCTTTCTCTCTTTAGGCTTAGAACTTCATTTTTTGTCTTTTGAGTCTTCGTACGAAGGTTAGGGTTTCAAACGCCTACTCAGCGAGCAGTTTACGGGTGATGTGGAGTAAATTTCCACATATCAGTATTCCGTCAGCCAGGTCAGACAGTTAACGTCTTAATACGGTTAATGGACTAATTTAACACCCAAATACCTATTTTGTGTACTTCCTGGTCTCACTTGTAAGAAGTGGTACTCTTTACTCCACCCGCTGCAACTTCATGTACTCAATCGACACTTTTCTCAAATCCAAAGTCTAGATAAAGAAATTCAATGGTCCATTTTAAAAAGAAATAAAGGGAAAATCGCACGTTTATTTCATGAAATAGTCATGAAATATCAGACTCGTGTTTCTCAGTTTGTAAATATCACTCTTTTTTTTGCTCAAAGAAGGCTTAATTCATAAAAATAGCATTCAGCCAGGGTACCAAACTAGAAAAGAACCACAAATAACCATCCGCCCGTGGCCGAGACTGAGAGCTAACCACCCGTAAAAAAACAGTATAACTCGCTAGACCAAAATTGGACAACTTAAAGCTAATGACGGTTACCGCAGACTTTCCTTCCCTCAACCTTAATGCAAGAGTCTTACAAGGAATAAAATCACAAAAGCAAAACATAACAAAGCAATCTGGTTTAATGTAACCAAAGCAGACAATAATAAAAACACCATTGTAAGTTTTCTTCCCCACTGCCGCCCAACATAGCAAGGCGAGTCTAGGAGACCTGACCCGCCCCCTCCCCATTTTTTGGCCCATCCAGAGTCATCCCTTCGCCATCTGCACCCTCTTCAGTCTGGTCATCCCATATCTTTCTGCGCTTTGGATCTCCAGGAGCCACTTCCCTGTCTTCACTTTCCTGCAGTGCCGGCTTACTCGCCTTGGACTCAGCCGAATTCTCTACCCCAAGATCAGCCTTCCTCGGTCCTCCAAATCCATCTGAGCTAGAGGCTCCATCAGATAACCATTTATTAAATCCTGTCGGGCTAGTCTTCACCCTTCCTCCAGCTCTAAGTTCCACCCCATATATTTTTTCAGCTACAAAGTCCTCTTCGTACTTCAATGGACAGAACTTGTCTGAATGCCCATTAATACCACAGATAAAGCAAAAACCGGGTAGTTTTTCATATTTAAAATCTACCCAATGTTTCACCCCATCCTGCGTTAAATTGGTACCTATTTTCAAAGGTTGACGGACATCCAAACACACTCGAATTCGCTGATAAGAACTCTGCTTTCCATCAAAGTGGCACATCTCAAATTTAATAAATGAGCCTAAAAAATTACCAATTTTTATGGCAGATCTTAAATTCCTATACTTAATAGGAGCATTATGAACCTGTACTCAAAAGCTAGCCTCAAACAAATTCATGGATTCCGGTATATCGTCTGGTTGCACAGCCTTTAGCAAAATTAAATCTCGCTCAAAAAGCCAGGGGTCATCCTCTATCACACGGTTCATATCCAAAACATGATTAAAATTTAGCAAGTACCTTCTTTCGCCGATTTCTTTGATAGACATACTTTTCCCTGACTTACAGATCGAGGTCATCAGCTCTTGAAATCCAGGTAATTTGACCTTGCGGTCAGTGATGACAACCCCAACCACCGGAAAAGTCGCCGGTTCCTTCTCCTCCTCGCTGCCGTCCTATGGCTCCTCGTCAAAATTAAGCTCCGAATCCGGCTCCTTCATCGACATCTTTCTATATGAAGCCACTATATCCTCCATGCAAAAACTTCTTCGACCGAGATCTCCGCTCTAAGCCTCGTCGAAGCCGTCTGCACCACGCCTAAGATCTCCGCCTTGTGCTTCGTTCGAAACCTCTTCCTTGCTAAACCGATACCCGATCCCCGGCCAAGAGCCGAGATCGGAGATGCTAACCCTAGCGGCCGAGCCCTAGGAGTACCGAAGCTTTAGAGAGAAGAAATTCTCGCTCCTTTAGTGTAAATATCACTCCTTAATTCAGGGGTGGATCAGGAATCTGAGATGCCCTGGACTGAATAAGAATTATACTAGGCTTAAATATTAGATGGGTGAGCTAAATGTGAAAAATGAAAAAACTTACACTAAAAAGTTGAAAAATTTCTAAGTTGCCCTGGGCTCCAGCCTATCATAGCCCGTACATAGATCCTCCCATGCCTTAATTGTTCAAATTGTTGTAAATGTGATCCTTTGAGAAGTGAAATGTACAATGTAGGCGAAGAGTACATTTTACCCCTCAAAGGATCACATTTACAACGATTTAGGTAATTAAGGGATAACATTTACAATCTCAGAAATATGGGTCTGACATTTTAATATGGTGACTAATTCAAAGACTAAACATGCGACTTTCCCAAAAATAAAATAAGCTCAATGATCCATTTTTTGTCATCTATTAGTTTAAATCGTTAGCTAATTGATTATTTTTATTGAGTTTAATTCCGTTTTTTTTTTTGTTTTCTAATGATAAAACAATTATGTTAAATAGACAAAAATAATAAGCCCAATTAAGGAGCAATCAATTTATTTGATCATTAAGGACTCAATTATGTTGGGATGAGTAGAAGTGATAACTTACATTACAAAGTATTACTTCCGCCCCAGTAAGGTTGATATGAGGAGGTGACACGATTATTAAGAAAAGTGAGTTTATGTGATTGATATCGAATTAATAAAAGGAAAAATTGATAGTAATAATCCCAACTATTGGCGGTCCGCTCATAATAATCTCAACTATTGATTATTACAGAATAATCCCAACTTTAGGAACCTTCCGCCAATAATGGTCCCTATGAATAAATTCTTGTAGTTTCTAAAGTGGATGAGATGAGATATAACAAGTAATCCCTATAAATAATCTCAACTATTAATTTTTGCGCTTAATTTCTATTTAAAAGTCACTTTTTATAGAGGTAATATATGGTCATGGACCATTATTGGCGGATAGTCTATATAGTTGGGATTATACAAAAATAATCAATAGTTGGGATTATTTTCAGCGGACCGGCAATAGTTGGGATTATTATTATCAATTTTTCCTTAATAAAATAAGAATAAAGTAAAAATGATTTAGAAACACACAAATTTTATCAAATTTGGTATGAGAATGTTTTAGTGAGGCGGACTGAAAAAGGAAAGATAAGATAATTTTAGCGGGATGGAGTGAAATATAATGTGTTTAGTTCCTGGTGACCATTACGAGTATTCTTCACGTATGTACACACTAGATCTCACTCATGCAATGCACGGATGAAAATTTACCCATGTGCGATTAAGAACTCTATTATAAAAATGCATAAATAATTGAATTTAGAATATAGTGATAATTAGTAACATAATATGTATTCATGGTTAAAGAGAGATTAAAACATCGTCGAAAAATGAAAATGTAAATATTATAAAAGAGACATAACATTCGAAACTACAAGCAAAGTGGTAAGTAGTTTAATAAGTGCTCATAGTGAAATTACAAATTAGTAAGACTTCTACGTAAACAACATTAAATTTGTAGTATGATCGATTTGTTGATCATCCTCATCACATATCAATATTTACAAATATTTACAATTGATAACTCTTGACACTGCAACGTAAAACTAACCATAAATGAAGACTGTTTTTATTAATAGTTTGATATGCGACAAAGATTGGCGCTGACTCATGTTATAGTCATCGCATAAGAGATAATGATCGAAAATTACCTTCTTTTAAAGTTGGAAATTGAATGATATTCTTAGATTTCAAGGTATTAGTGTCAACCTCGCCGGACTATTTCTTGCCAGATAGATTAGCGGGACGTAGTGGAATATAACGTGTTTAGTTCTGACCATTACGAGTATACTTCACTTATGTATACATACGCGCATAAACGAATCATTCTTATGAAAAATGCAAAAGATAGAAATGACTTGAAGGTTAGTTGTGCATTATTTTGTTCTGAGCACATTTTAATTTTTAATAACGAGGATGCGGCACTATCCAAAAGAACTCGGTATAAAACGATGCTCTTAATCACAATTTGGGTAGCATGAATTGCAAATCAAATCATGTATCTCAAATGAAATAATTGGTATCCAATGTAGCCAACATAAATCTTGCAACAGAACAACAAAATAGCAAAAAGGTCACCATTGGTGTCGATACAATTAAAGTACCTATCAAATATGAGCATCTTGAATTTGGAAAAATAACATAATCTATAATGCTATATTGATATCATATGTCTGATATGTTACTTAGAAATAAAAATATATACTAAATTGGTCCTAAAATGATTTGTAAAGTCTATTTTCTTGATCAACACATTTTGATTTCATTTGTTTATTTAAGATATCGATTTTTTATTATATTTTAGTTTGGACTTTGCAATAACTTTGAAGAGTAACTTTGAATGTGTGAATTATAATTAGCAAAGTTGACTTAATTATCAACAGAGAAAATTTGATTTTATCAGTTAACCTTCAAAATTGCAAATTGCGAATCAATTTGTGACAGAGAAAGAATGTATTTATTTGAACTTATTTCAATAACACTCCACATTTAGATAAATCAGACCAAACTTAAATAGATCAAAGCAGTCGGACTTCGACATAGACCAAACGTCTATTAGAACAAATCGGATAAGTCCATAATTTCAATTCAATTAAAAACATTCAAATGTAAAAAACAAAGGACATCGATTGGACATAATATAATATACGTAGTATGTAGTATTGTATATTTATATACGGAGTATAGCCATAGGGATGTAGATTGTGGTGGATTATAATAGGATAATGACAATCCCGTTTGGTTAATGAGAGTAGCATATCCGAAGACTTGAAACGTGAAATACAATACAAAGAGGAAATTGTTAAGACCCGGGGTTCCATCCTAAAAGGTCAACCTATTAGGAGGAGTAGCCCAAAGCCTTATATAGTGTTTAATTGTTTTATAGCTTTCCGGTGTGGGACAAATGCTTCAACACGCCCCCTCAGCCCGAACCGGGCTGGACAATATCGGGGTGTATAAACGGGCCAAACAAACCCTTAACAAGCTACCCTTAATCATGGGTGCTAAACAAGCCGTCAAACCACAACCGGAATTGGCTCTGATACCATGTTAAGACCCGGGGTTCCATCCTAAAAGGTCAACCTATTAGGAGGAGTAGCCCAAAGCCTTATATAGTGTTTAATTGTTTTATAGCTTTCCGGTGTGGGACAAATGCTTCAACAGAAATGGATCATCACTTTTATACACAATTCATTAGTGATGCAACCATTGGAATCGGAAGAAAATCACCCCCTTGTGAAATAGGGACGAGACCCGTTATATAGTCTATAAATATACTTATTGAGTCCTTATTGTAGCTTACACACCAAATTTCACTTCTTTTCATTCAAAATTTTCAGTTCTTCCAACCTGATTCGCTCTTTAACCTTCAAAATATAGCTTGTAGCTTTCTTATCAACGTCATCATCGCCAACATCCTTACCAGACCCACGAACATTGCCACCGTAGCCGCAATGTCCACCCGTTGACTCGGAGGAGGGTACTTTTTTCACATTTGAAGAACGCGGCAAAGGCTCGGTAGTCTTTGTAACACCACCCCCTTTATGGTGAGTTGAAGATAGTGGTTTAGCGGGGTGGGGGCGATCTTGGTTCGGGACTTGAACCGGGATCGCCTGTTTTAGGAGGTGGCCTGGGACAACATATCTGGCACGCTCCATTACTATAAAAATGTACGTTATCCTAAAGGAAAATAAAGGAAACAAATGTTGGAGATCTAATAGCCAAAATGGTGGTGCTTAATCCCTTGAAATAGATGAGCATTTTATAGCTTAGGTTACCAGTTGCATCATTTGGAAAGACCCATCACCATTCATATAGTATATGCTTTGAGATAAAAATGAATCATTTTGCGTGGCCGGAGGCCCCCTTTATATCGTGGGAAATAATTAAATTGACTAATAACTTGTTTCAAAGTCAAGTTGGTTATATTGCCCGAATTTTTTATGGTCACAGTGACCATAAATGATGGCGGATAGGGCATATATATGATGTTTTTACTTCGGACTTTTTTTAATTACAGATCGAATGAGACCAGACTTCAACAGATCAAATCAAACCAGACTTAAACAAGCCAGACCGAACTTAAACAGATCAGACTTGACTTCCGTAGTTATAAAATACTCAGAGACCAGACGTTTATCAGACCATACCAGTTCATACCAGACCAGATCAAACCAGTCCAGATCAGACCAGACTTAAACAGACCAAACCAGATCAGACCAGACCAGCAAATTACAGTCCAAGTAAAAACATCCATACAAGTGATACAACTATTAGGTAACTTAAGTTTTCTCTTATGAAAGAGAGTAACTTTTAATTTCGTGCGTGAAATTAATTTTACGCGTGAAAAGTGTATTGTTCAATATAAGTAAGATCAATGTTTCTTTTCTAACTGAATTGGCAAATGAGAAATATTTTAGTTTTTCATGTATAATTTTGTGTTTATTTTGTGAAATAATTATATATTTATGACTAAAATGAAAACGATTTACAAAAATTTGATTAGTGACTATAGTAGTAACAAGTAATGAAATTATAGTAACTTATGGTCAATTTTTAAACTTAATTTACTATAACACTACATTGTAGTAACAAATAGTCATATTTTTGTAAATAGTTCTATTTTAGTAATATTTTTGTAAAAACCTTTTACTTTATTTATAATACTCCGTACAGGATTTGTTCATATATGGACTTTTCCACATTTAGTCAAAAAAGACCATTTATACGTTATTTTGCCATCAAAATATGGCTCATTTGCTTTTAAAATAAAACGTGCTTGTAGGAATAACAGAGTTTGTATTTTTTTATTAGGATCGAATGTGTGATATTTTAAGATAAAAATGATAATATTTAGATTTTTGCATCTAAATCATGATATTTTACTTCTATATACATCATTTCTTCATCTTTTTTGGCGAGGAAAAGAATGTTCTTCTCAAAATTATTTATTTCTTACCTGTAATATACAAAAGATGGGACCGAATATGGGATCTGATGCAATAGTACGTAGTTTGACAAAAAATTCTCTTAAACCTTTTTTTTTTTTGCAAAACTTGCAGGCAAAGACTACTAGTAGTATTCCGAGTGAATATGATGTTGGTTTTTCCTTTGTTTTTGACCCATGAGGAAAGCCCAAGTTTTGAGCCCATTAAAAGTCTTCTTTGACTTTCTTTTTGGGAGCTAATAATAGTATATGGGTTAGCTACTATCTCAATACATGAGGACAAAAAGAGAGCAGCAGAAAAGAGAGCATAAGTCGTAAACATGAGCTGAGTGTGCTCATCCCGTTTTTCCAGCAGGCAGCAGTAGAAAACTTCCGTTTCCCGGAGATTGAACCGTTGGATCGTCGTGATTTTTGGACAGCAGCTTCACAGCATCTGAGCCAACATTATGGACGGTGGAGATCGGGTTTTGAGGTCCGGAGGTCGGGTTTCGTTGCTCTGGACAGTAACTATTTTTCTGGTGATATATTTCTTATCTTGGCTCTATTTTGATTCCATACACCTTGATGTGCTTACTTCCAAGGATATGATGACTTTGTATGCCTCTAGTATTATCTAGAGAAGACTTTGTACTGTTCCTTTGATGATGATAGTGGATTTAAGCGGCCAAAATGGTCCCGTGGTTTTTCCCTAGTTAACGGGTTTTCCACGCTAAAATTCCGGTGTTTGTGTGTGGTGTGTGCTTACTGTTTTAGCTGAATATATTGGTGTGTGGCAGCAATATTGTGTGTTCTAATTGTATTAAGAACAACCTATTTGTTTGCATCCTCAAAGGTTCATTCAAGTTGGGGAAAGTTTAGCCAAACGGAGATTAATTCCGCATTTTATTAGTTCCGTTTGTGGCTGTTTTTCCCATCAAATTGGTATCAGAGCCAGGTTCTTCTGTATTGGGTTAAACTTGTTTGAATGATGGAAGCAAACACAAGTAGGATGATCAATTTGAATGGTTCTAATTATCATGTTTGGAAAGGCAAAATGGAAGACTTACTTTATGTGAAGGATTATTATTTGCCTGTGTTTACTACTGATAAACCTGAGAGTAAAACAGATGCAGAGTGGAATATTTTGCATAGACAGGTTTGTGGGTATATTCGCCAATGGGTTGATGATAATGTTTTGAACCATATTAGCAGGGAAACTCATGCTCGCAGTTTGTGGAACAATCTTGAACAGTTGTATGCTCGAAAGACCGGGAACAATAAATTGTTCTTAATTAAACAGATGATGAGCTTGAAATACCATGATGGAACTCCTGTCACTGATCATTTGAATTCTTTTCAGGGAATCATAAATCAACTTGCAGGAATGGGTATCAAGTTTGAAGATGAGATACAAGGCTTGTGGCTCCTTGGCACTTTACCGGACTCATGGGAGACTTTTAGGACATCATTGTCCAACTCTGCACCAGATGGTATTATCACCATGGAATTAGCTAAAGGCAGTGTTTTAAATGAAGAGATGAGAAGAAAGTCACAAAGTTCCTCTTCACATTCTGATGTCTTAGTTACAGAAAGCAGGGGGAGAAGTCAGAGTAGAGGTCCAGGTAACAAAGGGAAGCATCGAAGTAAATCCAAAGGAAAATTTGCTGATTTTGAGTGCTATCATTGTGGTAGAAAAGGCCACACAATACGGTTCTGCAGGCAATTGAAAAAGGAGAAGAAGAAGAGCGATTACAACAATCAAAAGAATCATAAGAAAGATGAGGGTGGTAATGGAAATGTTGAAGTTAACACTACTACCGATGAGTTCCTTATTTGTTCTGATCTTGATATGGTCAACATTACACATGATGATTCCAGTTGGGTTGTTGATAGTGGTGCTACGTGTCATGTAACATCACAGAGGGATTTTTATTCATCTTACACTCCAGGTAACTTTGGTAATGTTAGGATGGGTAATAATGGACTATCAAAGATTGCAGGCATCGGAGATATTTGTTTGAAGTTTGACACTGGGATAGAGTTGGTTTTACATAATGTAAAACATATTTCAGATATGAGACTTAATTTGATCTCCGCAGGCTTACTTGATGATGATGGTTACAGCAACAACTTTGGTAATGGAATATGGAAACTCACTCGTGGTTCTTTGATCGTGGCTAGAGGTAAAAGATGCTCAAAGTTGTACATGACACATCCGAAGATCTTCAAGGATAGGGTCAATGCTGTGGTGAATACTGACATGACTGATTTATGGCATAAGAGACTTGGTCACATGAGTGAAAAGGGGATGTCTCTTTTGTTGAAGAGAAATGTGTTACCAGGTGTGCATGATATTCATTTAAAGAAGTGTTCGCACTGTTTGGCAGGTAAACAGAACAGAGTTTCCTTTAAGAGCCATCCTCCTTCCAGGAAGGAGAGTATACTTGATCTGGTGCATTCTGATGTTTGTGGTCCTATGAAGACTAGGACACTTGGTGGTTGCTCCTACTTTGTCACATTCATTGATGATCACTCCAGAAAGGTTTGGGTTTATACCTTGAAATCTAAAGATCAAGTATTTGAGGTGTTTAAGCAGTTTCATGCCTCGGTTGAGAGACAGACTGGAAAGAAGCTCAAGTGTATTCGGACAGATAATGGAGGGGAATACATTGGCCCCTTTGATGCTTATTGTAGAGACCATGGTATTCGACATCAAAAGAGTCCTCCCAAGACACCGCAGTTGAACGGATTAGCAGAGCGGATGAACAGAACTTTGATGGAGCGTGTCAGATGTTTGTTGTCACACGCAGGGCTGCCAAATTCATTCTGGGGAGAAGCTTTGAATACAGCGGTACATGTTATTAATCTAACTCCTTGTGTTCCTTTGTCTTTTGATGTGCCTGACAGGGTTTGGAGTGGCAAAGATGTTTCTTACCGTCATTTGAGGGTCTTTGGATGCAAAGCTTTTGTGCACATTCCTAAAGATGAAAGATCAAAGCTTGATGTGAAGTCCAAACCATGTGTTTTCTTGGGTTATGGCCAAGATGAGTTTGGTTACAGATTATATGATCCAGTCCACAAGAAACTTATTCGAAGCCGAGATGTTGTGTTTGTGGAAGATCAAACCTTGAAAGATGCTGAGAAGAAAGATACACTTCCTCAACATAATGATGATGTTACTGATTTGGATCCAGTGCCTCCTCAGCATGTAGAACCACCTCTTGATAATGATGTTCAGAATGATGAACAACATGATACTGATGTTCCAGAACAGCCAGAGGTGGATGAACAATTTCATTCAGAGATACCAGTACCAGACGTGCCACCATTTGTCCCACTTAGGCGGTCTACAAGAGATCGTCATCCTTCCACCCGTTTTTCAGCTAATGAGTATGTCTTACTCACTGATGGGGGAGAGCCTGAGTGTTATGTAGAGGCCATGGAAGATGAGCACAAAAGGGAGTGGGTTGAAGCCATGCAAGATGAGATGAATTCCTTACATGAGAATAATACATTTGAGTTGGTGAAGTTGCCTAAAGGCAAGAGAGCTTTGAAGAACAAGTGGGTTTACAAAGTGAAGACTGAAGAGCACACCTCACAACCTAGGTACAAGGCTAGATTGGTGGTCAAAGGGTTCAGTCAGAGAAAGGGTATTGATTTTGATGAGATTTTCTCTCCGGTCGTGAAGATGGGATCTATTCGTGTTGTTCTGGGTTTGGCAGCCAGCCTTGATCTTGAGGTTGAACAGATGGATGTCAAAACAGCTTTCCTTCACGGTGACTTGGATAAAGAAATCTACATGGAGCAACCTGAAGGGTTTCAGGT